GAATTCAGCAGCATCCCTGCAGCAGCATCCCTGCTCTCCCAGCCAGCTGGCGCCATGGCGGTGCCGCAGGAGCTCCCCGGGCTGACAGCCGGCACGCAGCCCCCGGCCCTTCCCATGGGTTTTGGGGAGCTGGCTCGCACAGCATCCTCCCCCAGCAGGGAGCCCATTTTGGGGCTACCCATTTGTTGGGGAATCCCTTCCTCTGGCTTTTTAGCTCTGATGCTGCCAGAGATGTTTCTGTCCCACTGGGTCAAAAGTATACATCTGCCTTATTTCAAACCGAAAGGTACTTAACCCTCCTCCTCCACAAAACATTACGGAAAATTGTATTTGAAGTTTCTAACCCCTCTCCACACACGCTTTTTGAGAAACAAAGCATCGCTGATGGCAAAAGCTGCCATCAATGCCATACCAGGACAAAAACCATGGGCAGAGTCTCACAAGAGCGGGACATCTTCCCACACCGGCAAGCTCGCAGTAGGAGTTTTGCTCCAGAAAACACAGCAAACCAAAGCTCAGAGCCCTGTCTCTCTCCAAGCCTTTCCCACCACAAGGCTGTAGTCCCTGCCAAAACCCAGATGTAGGCACCAAAAGCAGCAGGTTCCCAGCCCGCCGTGAGGCTGGGCGGGAGGACCAGGACCGCCGGCCTCCGGGGAAGCGTGCATCAAGGCATCAAAATGCAACGCTCCCAAAGGAAAAAAATAAAGAATCGAATCAGCAGCAAACGCTACTGAGAATAGTAAGTAGCATGGGGATTTTACAGGGATTTTTGGTCTAAGATGCTTGGGGAGCACTTTTGCCGGCAGGGATTGGGGTGTACATCCCACCCTGGAAAAGCGCAAGCCATGGCTGAAGCTTTGCAGGAGCTTGGCCGCGCTCTGCAGAACGATGCTGCGGGGATGTGCCGGCACACCACGGCGAGCAAAGCAGCCCTGGGCTGGGCATCCCGACAGCCAGGCTGAAGGCAGCGCTGCTAACACTGCAGGAAAGGCTTTGCACAGAAGTGGCAAACACGGTGACCCTCCCCAGGCTCTCCTGGCAGCAGGACAGAAGATGG